TCTGGCTGCATTTTATTTATATATACCTTCTTTTTCAATACCATGCCTGTTTTCTTTGCATGTCCAAACACGCTGCATCAGTTGATCGGGTAGGGAGTGTTATGCAGATAGGCATCCTTTTAATATCCCCTCTGCCACGAACTGCGACCTTGCAAGTGCGTTCACCATGGATGGTGGTTAGTTTGAACACCTTTTTATCGTGGTACTTTAGTGGCAGCAGTTCATTCGGGCAGAGAGCTGCTGTTTCCCCGCTTATTTATTTATTTCCTTCTAGAGCCTTTGGGAAACCTGTGTGACTCTTAGGAATAGTTCCACAGTCTCAAAGCAGTACAGCATTTTTAGAAGTTGGATTCGATTGTAAAAATTATCGATATACAAGTGATATCCCTTGTTTAGTAACTGCATGATTAGATCCCAATTTTCCCCACTTGTTCCTACTATATTTGGGAAACCTGAGGGATCAAGGTTGCTATCCCTTCCTTTGTATACACGGAAGGTATACACATCGCCACTTTCACACAACTTATGATATTTGATCCCATATCGGAATCTTTTGGATGGGATGTACTGTTTAAACCCCAGTCTTCCCTTAAACTTCATGATGGATTCGTCAATAGAAATGTTTTTTGGGGGTAAAAACAGTGGCAAATTTTTTGTTAAAGTGGGCAATTAGCATATTTTTATTTATATATATATATATATATATATATATATGTCATACTGCGGATGACCTTTTAGGGGGCACTTCCTTTTGTCACTAAAGTGCATAAATTGCAGTATGTCTTCATATATGTCCCTGCTCGTCTGGGAAAAAATGGGGGTATTGCAAATGGAGTTCTTAGACCAATACATTCCAACGGTGGGCTTTTTAATTATCTCCATTAGTATTGTCAGTGCCCAGAATTGTTTCAATTCTGGTACACTGGTTGGGTTCCATCTCTTTCCTGGCGATAAGAGACTCTTGATGGTGTGCCAGATACTGCTCAGTGTACAGATTAGTCTGGGTGACTATCTCCCCAAGAACAGCTGCATACAATCCAGCGCATTATAGCCAGACAGGTCAGCCTGTGTGCCAGGATTGGCAGTGAACTCTGGGATGTCTGGTAAAAAAATATTAGGGGGTGCCCAGTCATCTGCACCATGTTCAGCATTATGGGAATCTGCTATTTCTGATGGTCCTGCAGTATCTAGCACATAGTCCCTGTCCACTGCGTCACTCTCTGAGGCAGTGTCAGTCGCCTCTGAGTCAGCCGATAACCGGGCATAAGCCTCCTCTGCGCTATATTTCCTAAGTATTGTGCACTACGGTAAACTTTAAACTTTAATTTTTTAAAAAACTTTTTTTTTTCTTTTCACCCCTTACTAGCTTATCACTAAATTACACCCACACCAACTAACTAAATCACAAATTAATTTTTAAAAAATTTAAATTTAACCCCTTAGGATTACTCAAAAAAAAAAAAAAAATCACAGTAAAGTACTGTGAAATGTTTTTTAATCACATGAATAATTAGCAGGGAAAGGGGGTTTGGAACCTCCTATAGACAATTTATTCTATTCAGGGACACAATGTAACAATGATCCTTTTCTCTCCAATTCAAAGTCCCAGAAGAGGTGGATCTGATATCACTGCAGCATTTTGTGACTGGCTGTCACAGTGATCACATGGGTTGGGACATTGCGATTTGCTGTTGCTGGTCTGCCCGTGACTCTGAGGAACCCAGCAACAGCTTTAACGCTGCGATTGCCAGCACTGCAGCGATCTGGGGTTAATTTTAGCGCATGACGGACCGGGTCCATCCTCCGGCGTTAAATGCTTCCCCTTTTTGTAAGCTTACCCAGATTGCTTCAAACTGCAGGTTCTATGTTTTTCCACTATATATGGCACTACAAAATGTGAAAATTAGAGTAAAACTGAAGTGATTTGCCTCAGGGATGTGTTCTCCCACTGGCCAAATGGATTAGGTGGGAGGAGGTGTTGGGCAGCAGGTGTAGTGAAGTAGCAGCTACCCGTGCAAGCATTTTATAGCTTTGTTTGTTTAGCTTGTGCCGGCAATTATGCTATGGTCCTAGGTTAGTGCAGCCTCTGATGCTCCAAGCATGCATAAGCAGATGTTGCCTAGTACCTTGAGACATTAAAGAAGCAGTAGGGTTATGTCAGGATTACAGAATGATCCAGCACATAGAATTGTGTAACACAGAGGACTGATAGGTAACGTATACCGGACCTTAGAATGGCCGGAGTAATGTACCAAAGAATAGTCAGGAATAGCCGAGGTCAAGGAAACCGAAAGAGACACAACGATAAGGAAAAGCCAGGAGTCAGGGATGCCAGAAAACAGGGAAGTCAAAAACAATGCCAAAGTCAAATAACCAGAATTACCAGATTCAATAACGCGCTCTCGGACAACCACAAGGGAAACCACGACAGGGCACTGAGCAGGATGAGAACTGGGCCTAAATACCCCATCTCTAGATCAGATAGGCTGTAACTGGCCTTTGACCCCAAAGGCAGTTACCAGGTTTCCCATTTGCATAATTGCTGCTCAGCATTAACCTTTCTGTTGATTTGGTTGCTGCTCGGCACAACTTTTCCTGTGTGGACAGTAAATGCCATTAACCACATTTTTATATTATCCGCCTCGAGACGTTGAGGTGCGTCCGAAACTCCAAAGACCTGCCAGGGTCCCCCGAAATCTGCCAAGTCATCAAAAACCAGGATCTGTCTAGGAGGAGAGGATGGCAATATTCGAGTCTCAAAGGAGATCTGGACAGGCCGGTAACAACCTTGGAACTTCAATCTCCAGAAGTTGGGGGAACCATGACTGTGTCCCTCCAAACAGGGTTAAGAGGACCAGCTCGGCCTCTTGGCGGCGAACCTGCAGGAGTACTTGAGTAAGCATGGCAAATGGAGGGAAAGCGTAGAGAAGCGGTCTGTGCCAGTCTTGCAGACACGCGTCCATGGCCTCCGTGGCTGGGTCTGGACGGCAGCTGACAGGACAAGGTAGGCATTGAGCCGCGACGCAAAAAGGTTGATGGCAAAGGACCCCAGAGGGAGTAGATAGCGTAAAACACCTCTACATCCAATCTCCAATCGCTGCTGTCGTATAGATATTGCAAACATTATGCAGGTCTGGTAGATACTGCACCTGGACCACCAAATTCTGCGTCAGACAAAACTCCCAGAAGTCCATTGCCAGATGAGCCACAAGTGCTGATTGAGTTCTGCCCATGTGGTTGACATACCTTACCGCTGATATGTTGTCCATATGCAGGCATTGGCAGTCCCTTTTGCAAAACACTGAATCGCAAATGACCCTGCCAGAAGTTCTAGGACATTGATGTGCATTCGGGATTCACTCTCCGACCAGCGACCTCCTGTTGACACAGTCTCGCAGTGAGCGCCCAAGCTGTGGAGACTTGCATCTGAATCTATGGTGATTTCTGACTGAGATCCAAATTTGACCCTGCCGTTCCACGCACATAAGTTGCGGATCCTCCAATGTAATTCTTCCTTCGTTTCTATGTATAGGAGATCAGATCTGCTTATGAAGCGCCCTCGCGGAGGTGTGCGAACTTCAACCTTTACAGAGCTCGAGAATGGAGAGGGGCTGGAAACTCTGCCAAGTGTCGTAAGGTGATATGCGGCCGGAGTAGAGCAAGTTCCTTGCAGATCGTCCGAATCCTGGATGAAGGTAGGCTCAGTGAATCCTCTTCGGAATCTACGATGAAACCCAAGAGCTCCATGCATCTAGGGGGTGTCAGACAGGATTTCTCTCAAATAATTAAGGTAGAACAGCCGGGTCAGGAGATCTACCGTCCATAGCAGGTGAAGTAGGAGGATGGAGCGGTCTTGAGCCATGTGCAGAATATCTTCCAGATACACAATAAGGTGCACACCCTGACTGCGAAGCCAGGTCATCACTGGACATAGCAGCTTGGTGAAGCACCAAGGTGCCGAAGAGAGACCAAACGGAAGACAGGTGAAGCGCCATACGCAATTCCTCCAACGGAACTGAAGGAGATCTTTCAAAACACTGTTCACCAGCAACGTCAGGTACGTGTCCTTCAAATCCAGCTTTGCAAATAAATCCCCGTGGGTGCAAATTGATGACCGGATGCATCTGGCCACCCTTTTTCTCTATCAGGAAGAGATTACTGTTGACCCCTCAGGGGCGCAGCGGGGCCAACACTATAGCGTCCTTGGCAAGTAGGGCCGACAACTCCTCATCGATCAACCTCCGACCCCGAAGGGGAAAACCAGATTGGTCGAGGAGTAGGGATGTGTCGAGGTGCCCCAACCAGCTCTATGTGGACACCCCTTATTGTATCAAGAACCCATGCAACCGACATGATGGATGCCCAGGCTGGGAGAAAATGGAGTCTGCTCACTTCACAAACATGAGAATAAGCATGAGGTAGAATTAAGCGTACCGTATGGGCATCTTCTACTGGAATTCCCTCTGAAGCCCCTTGACCGCCATGGTCATCCACGAGATGAGAAGAAGGGGGATCGGGTCCTCGCCTCCTGGTAATTAAGCGTACCATATGGGCATCTTCTACTGGAATTCACTCTGAAGCTCCTTGACCGCCATGGTCGTCCACGAGATGAGAAGAAAGGGGATCAGGTCCTCGCCTCCTGGTAGTTAGGGCGTTGGTTGAAGGAGCCTTGTCCCGAGCCACAGGAGTTGAAATAGCTGCAGCCAGCCCGACGACCCATGGATAGAGACCCACCCCTGGAATACCCTCCTCATGGAAGAGTGGGCCTTATCCAGGGCAGTAAATGCCCCAACAAATGCCCTATATTCTTTGTAGGTCATCCAGGTTGTAGTGGGACTGCCGCTAAACTGTGCATTGCCCTAATTTGTCTGCGACCCCAAAGGGAAAACCAGATTGGTCGAGGAGTAGGGATGTGTCGAGGTGCCCCAACCAGCTCTATGTGGACACCTCTTATTGTATCAAGAACCCATGCAACAGACGTGATGGATGCCCAGGCTGGGAGAAAATGGAGTCTGCCCACTTCACATGAGAAGAAGCATGAGGTAGAATTAAGCTTACCGTATGGGCATCTTCTACTGGAATTCCCTCTGAAGCCCCTTGACCGCCATGGTCATCCACAAGATGAGAAGAAGGGGGATCGGGTCCTCGCCTCCTGGTAGTTAGGGCGTTGGTTGTAGGAGCCTCGTCCCGAGCCACAGGAGTTGAAATAGCTGCAGCCAGCCCGATGACCCATGGATAGAGACCCACCCCTGGAATACCCTCCTCATGGAGGAGTGGGCCTTATCCAGGACAGTAAATGCCCCAACGAAACGCCCTATATTCTTTATGAAGGAATCGCCAAACAGTGAAGGCAAAATTGGCCAACTTAGGCTTGATTTTAAATAAAATGGCTTTGTGGCACTTCATAAAGAGGGAAGCATTCAGGGACAGACCCTTAGACCAGGACCCAAGACCAGGGCAAGGGCCACCACAGCAGGACATGGACCCAAAATGATGCACTAAGCCATGACTGACCGATGGGACGGACAGTCACAATTAGCCAGGTAACCGGACCAGTCCGGACAGACACACAGTCCATTGTAAACCAAAACACGAGGCAAAGCCACATGCGGCCCTCACCTATCACTTTCACATATCCGATAGCTCCCCATGCCCACAATAGGTAAAGACAATTAAGCACCCTCCAACCCATGGTACCTATGTTACCAAAACTGATGGTGCCCCGACGACCTCACCCGTACCCCTGACTTACCTCCTGACGCTCATCATCCTATCTACCACTTAGCCCAAGTTAATGCCTGACTTGTACACACCTAACCACTACAAACAATGATAACCAAGAAGCCGGCTAGTAGTTCAGCGGACATATCCATTGAGAACTATACCTTGTTACATGTTATAGTTGGTTCTTCCTTATTAATTCAGCATGTTTTTCATAAACTGAGGCCCACGGTAATTCTGGGAAGATATACATTGCATAGGGCCATACTTGTTTTATGTGCAAACCGCTGTTTCCCTTTTCTTATTCTGTACCCCATACACTTTAATATCTCAATAAAAAAGTGATTGACAAGTACTTACCTTGACAGGACTTATCTAGACCCTTACGTGCCACACAACTTGTTTCAGGCTACCTTGCTAAAGGGGTGCCGCACCCAGATTTCCAGGTAGCATGCCACGTGGTCCGCTGGAAGCCACTCAGTCGACCTTGGGTGATGTAGGTCATCCAGGTTGTAGCGGGACAGCCACTCAACTGTGCATTGCCCTAATTTTCCTAATGTGTGTGTACTGTTTTTGTATGTGTTCTCCCTTCCTTTTCGCTATATTCCCTATCTTGCAACTGTAGTTTGCTCTGTGTGTTTGCCTAAAACTGTCTGCTCGCGGTGCGGGAGGTGCTGTCACGAAGGGAATCCATTCACCTTCCGAACGTGGACCACCACAAAACCCCAATTAGAATGTTATCTCAGAACGTTCACACCTCATAACAAGGTGTTAAAACCACAAATCGCAAGGGAAGCCTTGGCGCATGCCTACCCTGAGTGGCGGCCTGTTTGTTAGACGAATGCCATCCAGGGGACGCATTCGTGGATTGCTTCCATCATCGGTGGGTTCCCGAACGAGGACCTCCCCAGTGCCCCTTGGAATGTTCGCACCAATCAATCATAACCTTGGCAACTCGCAACATAAGTGTGAAACTGCAAGGAAAGTAATTAATCAGTGCTTCCCTGGGTGTTCGTATAGACGAACGGCGGCCAAGGGGAGCATTCGTGTCCCGAAAGGAGACTCTTCCCTTGCCTGGTTTCACCCAGGGACCCTGCGAGCGGAGGCTGTTCATCACGGTTACCGTGCTGGGGGGTCCCTGTGATTGGTGGGAGCACTATTTGGGTAAAATGGCGGGTTTGTGGGCTTTCTGTAGCTGGGGGCCAAAGAGGTGGGAAGCTTCCTGGGAGGAAGACCCCCTGTCACCAGATTTGGGAAACCCTGGGGATGGGTGGCGTGAAGAGGGAACAAAGCGACTGGGGTTCCAATTCCGTTACACGACCCCTGGGACGGGACATTGTCGTTATGCATGGGGAAAGTATAAAGTCGAGTTGTTGTACCCCTGGTACTGTGTACCAGTTACTGGGGAAAAATGGGTCTCTACATTCTCTAAGACCGGAGGTAACCAGTCAGGTTAAGTAGGGTCTGCTACAACTGGTGGCAAGCGGCGGGATCCCATGTCCCAGCCAAAGAGACCTATGGACTTTCAGTCTCTGAAAAGGTAAACACTACTTGCCTTTGCCATGATTTGTGTGAAGCCAGAGGGATAACAGCTGGCAGTCGCAACAAGGTGGATCTGATTGCATCCCTCATGGAAGACGACCGTACACCCCCAGCCAGTGGCCGAAGAAGATGAAATACACAAAGAGGTGGCCTGGCGTTGTACGAAGAGACCCTCTCAGAAGAAATAATGAAAAGGATCATCTCTGAGGCACAAACATATGTCCTCGCCAAGAAGAATCGAGAAACCCCCACACACCCAGATGGACAGAGGGGGCGAGAAGATGTCGCCGGGGAGTCCCACTGCTCCTGCTTAAAAACCCAAACTACCATACACTGCCTTCAAGGAGTTTAAGGTAGCCAGAGAAGGCATTGACTATTTTCTGCAAGCAGTCGACCTAACCGACTGGGTAACCATCTTGGCCAGTAAGTTATCGGGGAAGGCGGCAGAAGGTACCGGAGGAGCAGCTCCGGGAGTACCCCTTTGTCAAGAAGATACTGTTTGCCAGGTATGCCGTCACCCCGGAGGCAAACCGCCGGAAGTTCAGAGAGACCAAGAAGGGAGTGAAGGATTCCCATGCAGAGTGGGCATGCCACATCACCAGGGCCACCCACAACTGGATGAACTCTGAGCAGGCCAAGTCCCCCGAAGAGATCCTACAGCTCTTCATGTTAGAATTTTTTTTCAATGGGCTCCCCAATGAAGTGCGGGAGTGGGTGAGAGACCGGCAGCCCAAGACCCTAACAGAGGCACCGCAGCAGGCCGATGACTATGCTGATGCCACTGTGACCTACAGTCTGCCCTAACCTACTATGCCCAGCTGCCACTGTGACCTACAGACTGCCCTAACCCCGCACCAGGAAAGTCGACAGCGGCTGGGACCCACCCAAGAGTACCCACACAGACGGGCTCCAACTGCTACCACTGCTGTCAGCCCGGCCACCACAAAAAAGAGTGCCCTCAACTCCAACCCCAGTGGGTTTGCCTTGTGGTCGCTCAACCCCTGAGAGCAGTGGCCCACTACTACAAAGCTGACCCCCTGAAGACTCCTGGATTCCCCTGCACTCAGCCAACCCCTACCAAGCTGCCCATGAAAACCAAGCCCACCATCGACAGCCAGTCTGGCTGAATGGGCAGACCGTCCAGGGGCTAAGGGATTCCGGGGCCACCATGATCTTGGTGCAAAACAAGCTCATAACTCAGGCTGAGAGGAATGGAGAGACCCTCGCTGTCCAGGTGGACGGGGGCTGCGTCTACCACTTACCTACAGCCCACAACCATCTGGATTGGGGCACTGGTGATTGGAAGGTAGTCGGACCCCGCGACTCGAGATCCCGAGGCAGTCGCTCCGAGCAATATTCAGGCTGAGACTGTGGATGAAGCCCTGATGCGGGTGATCTCCCAGGTGGGTTTTCCCCGGAAGATCACCTCGGACCAGGGCACCCAGTTTACTGCCGAAATTACCCACCAACTATGGAACCTCTGCGGCATTAAACCGATTCTGGGCTCCCCATACCACCCACAGACCAATGTCCTGCGTGAGCTCTTCAATGGCACGTTGAAGTAAATGCTCTGTGCCTTTGCGGCGACTAACAATGATTGGTTCGCTTCCCGGGAGGTGCCCCAGGAATCTACCGGGTTTTCTTCGTTCAAGCTGATATTCAGGCGGAGAGTGGGAAGGCCCCTAGACCTAGACCAGGAGCAATGGGAGGGAGCTGGAGAACAGGAAGGGAACCCCATCGTCCCATTTGTGCTGGAGGAACTCACCCATCTGGTGCGGGAGAACCTCCAGGTGGCCCAGTGACAACAGCACACTTTGTATAATCAGGGCACCAGGAGCTGCAGCTTTCAAGTCAGGCAGAAGGTTTTTGTGCTGAAACCCGTCTAACATGACAGGCTGCAGGTGGTGGAACAGAAATGTGCATATGTGATCGGCCCGTGCTCAGGTACTGGAGTCCGACGCCTGTTGCATGCTAACTTGCTTAAGCCCTACCACGAGCGGACAGAGGATGTAGCCGCTAAATGTACTCCAGCCTCTGAAGATCTTCACCTGCCTGACATCCTGGAGGAGTGAGCCTAGGCAGGGTCCATTGAGGAGTTCCACTTAGGGGACTGACTAACTGAGAGGGAACGCAGACAGGCACAGCAGATGCTGTCCGTAAAGAGAGCCACGTTCTCCAATCTGCCAGGGTATACCCCATTAGCCACCCACAGAGTGGAGACCCCCGACCAACAGTCTCTGCGGCAAGCCCCATACCAGGTACCAAAGGTTGTATGGGGGAATATGCTGCAGGAGATGCTCCGGCTAGGGGTCATAGAACCGTCCACAAGTCCTTGGGTCTCCCCAGTCATCCTGGTCCCGAAGCGAGATGGGACTACCCGGTTCTGAGTGGATTACAGGAGGCTCAAAGATAAAACCATCTCCGATGCATACCCCATGCTCCGTATAGACGAGCTTCCGGATAGTATGGCCCGAGACCAGTACCTCACTACCATCGACCTGTGTAAGGGGCAGATTCCCCTAGCAGCAGATGCCGTTCCCAAGTCTGCCTTCGTCAACCCCTTTGGCCTGTACCAGTTTAAGGTAATGCATTTTGGGATACATGTAGGGGCTGAACTAAACAGAATTAGGGAAGCAGGATTGACCCTAAAGCCCAGCAAGTGCCATCTGAGGATGGCTGAGGTGCAGTACCTAGGGCACCGGTTGGGGTGTGGGTTGGAGGAGTGTGTGAGGTAGAAGAACAAACCGCACAAGATGGGGGTCTCAAGCCAGCAAAATGCCTGCAGAACAGCTCTATGTCCAACTGACTCCAATCGATATGAGTGTTGACTGGGCCAGAGCTGCTGCTGCTTTAGATGATACCGACTTGAGGTAATCGTAGAAAGCGGAATTTCCGTACTTGTGCCTTAAATCCACCACCTTGTGTAAACAGAGGTCGAATTCCTCTTGCCTCTGAGGGTATACAGAGCAGATGACATATAGTCTAAAGCTGAGAACGAATTCGGGGATTGAGAGTTTTTATTAAGACATGAGTCCATTGTTTTAAGCATCACAGAAATATCTCCGTAATTAAAAGCTCTATTTTCTAAAATGTCCTGCAAAGCAAAAAGGAGTGATACTAGGCTGACATCCTTGCCATCTAGAATATCTTTCTTAATGGAAGCTGGAACCGAATGTGCACGGGCGATGACGTGTGAAGTGGAGGGAGTAATAGTAATGGCATTACTTTGTGTGTTTGAGGGTGCAGGTGTGGGGGATAGAACATTAGATGCGTTAGGGATGATGGTTTCTATCTTGGTCATGCTCTTGTTACGCGAATGAAGTTTAGACAAGATAGATGACAAGGTGTCTTTTTTTTAATAAATATAAATGTTTATTAATTTTTTTTCAGATAAAAAAAGGACAAACAATCACATATCATCGAAAATATAAAATTTGACATCCCAAGACCCTTAACAGTCTTAATAAACTTATTAATCAAGTCAACATATTGGTCAGTCTACTATGATTTAATAATACTAAGACACTGACAAACTTTGAAACATAAAAAGACAAAGCAAAACACAATGGTCTCTAATCATTATATAAAGAAGATAAAAATAAGTAAATGCAATAAAGGTTTCACAATTTAAATCTCGATATCACACATCCTACATTTTAGCCATATTTTATACACTGAACCCCTATCGCACAATCCCGAAGGAGTAGGGAGGGTAGAGAGATGCGGGGAGGTATCTCAAGATACTAAATAAAAATTGATATACAACCATTCAGAATTTTCTCAACTTTTATTTTAGGCTATGTGACGAAGTGCCCTTCGCCACTTGGTCCTGGAGAGGCCTGCTTGCCAGCCTCCTGCCCTGTGACTATGGCCCAGGGGTGTATGGCCCTTTAAAAACATTATTGGGGCTTATGGATTTTTATGGGACTGGTGCTGCCCCTTTAAGCACATTTTTGTGACATAGGGAGAATTGGAACAATGCCCCTTTAAAACTGTGCCCCCAGAGTCCCCAGACTGTGAAAATAACTTGTACATTGCTTTTCCCCATATGGTTCAGTAATTGTCGCTTACTGAATCATTTATTGCACAGGCGGACCACACAAGGGGAAGTGTGCAGCCAGTTTACCTCCGAGGCTGGTGGTCAACCGCAAGGTTAATTTCCGACTGCTGGGGGGCTGCTGTTCGAACGCAGTCAGCCATGTGTGCAGCCAAATCCATGGTACTAAAATCGGCTACACATTTGCACAAACACAGCTGACCCTTACTTTCTGCTCCACTTCGACGCTTCAGCTGAAAACGAAGTTCCGTTCGATAATTCAAACGCACAGTTAGACTAAACTACTTGCACGAACATTGCCCCGTTCGTGCATTCGAATGGGACTTAGTAATTTTTCTGAGTGAAATTACCGACTGCACAGCCCAAATCTGAAACTGTTTTGGGCAGGAAAGCATGCTTGGGGTCGGTCAAAAATGACTTCCAGCTAACTTTTTAACGACTGGAGGGAATTGTCTGATTTTTGGGTATGTTTGTATTTGAAGTATGCTGATTAATAATATGTATGGAGATTGTATGTATATTTTGTGAGTTATGAGTATTGTATAAAAACTGTATTTTTTCTGCCTGTGATAATTACATTAACCCATTGTGTACAGTAATTATATCACAGGCAGAGGGGAGGATTTTGCTGAAATGAATGGGAGTGTTTTACTCTATTGTACGTGTTTGATTGGCTGTTCTACAAAACCATGTGGGTGGTACTTTGTGTGTAAAACTTGCATAAAAGAAAGCCCTTTGGTGCTGATTAAGAGAGATCTTCTTGATCCTCAACACGTAGTCTTGTCTCGTGATTGGAGGGGGCAGCTATACTCACACTGGGGATTGCTATACTTATATACTCCCCTGAGCTTTAATCACTTAGCTCTTCTAAGAGCTGTTCCTGATATGCTCTCCTCGAGGAGAGGTCTTTCCCACACGGTCCTGGAGGACAGAGGCTGATCCAGGGTGGAAGGAAGACGGCGGGACTCCAGTTAAGCTACGGCGGTTGTGGAGTCTGCAGTGGTTGTGGTGTCCGGTGCAGTGCTTGTGGCAGGCGCAAGCCTGAAAGCGTTCATCAACGGAGGGTACTCGGTCAGAGTATGGGGGAGTCCGTTATAGGGTATATAACTTAAGCTTCCTGGATAAAGTTATTCCAATATTATATTGCCCATGTTGGAGACTCTTTCTGCTTCCAAGATTTAACAATACATTTTTTTGCTGCTATCAGAATATGAGTAGCTATATATCCGTTGTTTTGCAACAATTTAGGCCAATCAAGGTGTAATAGGGAAGTTTTGGGAGGAAAAAGTATATGAGCATCCGTACGTTTCTCTAATATGTTATATGTTAATTCCCGAAAGGGTTTTAATTTCTGACAATTCCACCAGATATGAATATAGGAACTTTCTAGATGATTACATCGCCAACAAAGAGAGGAATATGTAGGGAACATCTTATTGATTTTCTTTGGATCCAAATGCCATTTAGTTAATATATTGTATTGTAACTCTATAAGATTGAGGCAATGTATAGATTTCTTGACTTTTGGTATGATCTTATACCAGTCTGAAATTAGAATCTCCATTTCAAGATCACTTTTCTCTTTATTTATAATGCAATTAACTGGGTTTACTCTAGATGGATCTTCATCATCAAAAATAGGGCTTTTCATTAAAGTTCTAACATTTTCTCCATATTTTAAGAAATCTAGTCCTATGATTTCATTATCTTTTTTCCATGTAATATTTCTCAGATAGGAGGGAACTTTTTTGGGGGGTATATGGAATTCAAGAGCTATTTCATGAAAAGATTTAATATGAGAGCCATTTAAGATATCTATTAAAGCATTTATACCATTATTTTTCTATGTAGATAAATTAATTTCTTCCATATTATATTCTAGAAGATCTATGCTACTCTTAGCTCTGATACTATTAGCCCGTGATAGCTTGTGTTCTATCTTAAATCTGAACCAGAACTTTAGGATTTGATAAGTAAAATAGTTTTTCCCACTTTTATTATCTAAAATTTTGTCAATACCCAATCTTTTAGGATGCATCCACAATATGAAGGAAAGATCCGATATTTCCAACATAAATTTCTTAATATCATACCAAAAATCTTTAGATTCCATTTTAAACCATTTAGAAATATGTTTAAGGATCGCAGCATCATGGTATTTTTTTATATTGGGGATAGCTAGTCCACCTTTATTTATACTTTTCTCTAATATCTCGCATTTTATTCTCGGCTTTTTCCCTTTAGATATATAGTCAGTGAATATTCTCTGTATTTTCAAAAGATTCGACCTATATAGACATGTGGGAATCACTCCAAAGAGATAATTCCAAATTGGAAGTACATAGGATTGTATGACGTTAATTCGTCCCAGCCATGAAAGTTCCAAAGACTTCCAGTCATTAAGCAATCTGGTAGTCTGATTTAACAGTACCTCCCAATTGGCTTTGATTAAATTTTTTGCTTGAGAAGTATTATGCCTAGATATTCAATGCTTTCAGTTTCCCATTTAAAGCTATATTCTCTCTTTAAAATGTCTATGCAATCTTTGTCTAGATTCCAGCTCATAATGGTTGATTTGGATGTATTAAGCTTGTAATTTGACATATTACCAAATAATTCTTTAAGGAGATGATTAATAGAATGTTCAGGGTCTGTTAGTGTCATTATGACATCATCAGTATACAAACTTAATTTTGACTCTCTATATTCATATTGAATTCCCTTGATGTTTTTATTCATTCTAATATATTGGGATAAGGGCTCTATATATAGCATAGGGGAGAGGGGGCAACCCTACCTAGTTCCATTTTGAACTTTAAACCAAGAAGAAGTAATTCCCGATCCTATTATCCTAGCTGAGGGATTGGTATAAAGAAAAGATATTGCCTGTAGAATCCATCCATTAAAGGACCACTCTAGGCACCAAGACAACTTCATTTCAATGAAGTTGTCTTGGTGCCAGGTACCTCTACTTTTTTTTTTTTTTTTTTTTTAAATACACTGCCGTTTCTGAGAAAATGCAGTGTATTTTTTTGTCCCTATTCCCACCTCCAGTGGCTGTCTCTAAGACAGCCACTAGAGGGTGCTTCCTCAATCCTCACTGTTAGAATCACAGTGAGCTGATGTCAGGCATCCTCTTGGACGTCTAACGTCATTCCCTTGTAATGCAGGCAGCTCAGATGTGAGCGTGCCTGCATTATAGACTATGCTGAGATGTTTTATTCCTCGGAGGCCAGTGTGTGAGAGAGACTCTCTCACTGAAGACGGAGTACCGAAGAAGAATTTCCCCTAACGGAATCTGGCTGCACATTGACTGTAAGTAAACTTTTATCCTATTTTTATTTGATTATTAATGTAATGTCTTTCTATTGTTTTTATTTTTTAATTTTAGTTAGTGATTTGTATAATCTTTACTTCATTTATTTGCATTATTTATGTAGAGAAAAAAAATCTAGATTTGTTTACATATGACCTATGTAATATATTTACTATTTTAACTGTTATGTTTGTTTACATTTTGCTATTTCATTTTATATATATATATACATATATTTGCTTGTATGTGTGTGTACATATGTATTTTTGTTATATATGTATTTTTTAAAATATTTTTCGAGATATTTTCAATGTATTCATTATTTATATTAGTATATGTAGTTGTATGCATACATTGTTGTAATTTATTATTTTACATATGTTGCACCAAAAACAATACATTACATACATACAGTCGTATATATTATATATATATATATATATATATATATATATATATATATATATATACTTTTATAATTGTTTAGTTATATATATATAAAAATTATAACATAAATAAATTTTTAAAATAATATTTATCTTATTTTCAATTTCAGAACGCAGATTTACAAATCGTTCAAAGCGCAATAGAATTTGTGAAAAATTCTAAGTGATTACGGTAAGTTTTAATTTGTCTATATTTTGGGGTAAAGTTTGCCTGGCTCTCTTTGTCTTATTGTATGCTTATACATATAGGATAAAGAGATATCTATGCAAAAAAAGGTTCTAGTGCTGAAATATATTTCTCTATATTGACACAGTTTCACTGTTGCTCGGCACGTGAAAAGTACTGCCCTGAATTTTACCTTTTCCTTTCTTGGGGCTGCATTTTTCGCCTGCTGGTACAGTCAAACTCACTTTTTTTTTCTTTCTCTCTTTCTTTCTTTCTTTCTTTTTTCCCCGTTTTGGAGTTTTGTATTGTGTTTGCAATCGGTATGTACCATTTTAGTATGCCATCCTTGGAGCGCAGGAAAAGAGCTGGCCGTCATCTTGTGCTTCAGCGCATGCAAGGCAGGCTCTTCTCCTGTGCTTTCTTTGCAGGCATACATAAAATGGCTGTGTCGAAGAAATACATTTCTCTATATTGCCACAGTTTCACTGTTGCTCAGCACGTGAAAAGTGCTGCCCTAAATTTTACCTTTTCCTTTCTGGGGGCTGCATTTTTCGCCTGCTGGTACACAGTCAAACTCACTTTTTTTTTTCTTTCTTTTTTTTTTCACCGTTTGGAGTGTTTTTATTGTGTTTTCAATCGGTATGTACCATTTTAGTATGCCATCCTTGGAGCGCAGGAAAAGAGCTGGCCGTCATCTTGTGCTTCAGCGCATGCAAGGCAGGCTCTTCTCCTGTGCTTTCCTTGCGGGCATACATAAAATGGCTGTGTCGAAGAAATATATTTCTCTATATTGCCACAGTTTCACTGTTGCTCGGCACATGAAAAGTGCTGCCCTGAATTTTACCTTTTCCTTTCTTGGGGCTGCATTTTTCACCTGCTGGTACACAGTCAAACTCACTTTTTCTTTCTTTCTTTTTTCTTTTTCACCATTTGGAGTGTTTTTATTGTGTTTTCAATTGGTATGTACCATTTTAGTATGCCATCCTTGGAGCGCAGGAAAAGAGCTGGCCGTCATCTTGTGCTTCAGCGCATGCAAGGCAGGCTCTTCTCCTGTGCTTTCTTTGCAGGCATACATAAAATGGCTGTGTCGAAGAAATACATTTCTCTATATTGCCACAGTTTCACTGTTGCTCAGCACGTGAAAAGTGCTGCCCTGAATTTTACCTTTTCCTTTCTGGGGGCTGCATTTTTCGCCTGCTGGTACACAGTCAAACTCACTTTTTTTTTTCTTTCTTTTTTTTTTCACCATTTGGAGTGTTTTTATTGTGTTTTCAATCGGTATGTACCATTTTAGTATGCCATCCTTGGAGCGCAGGAAAAGAGCTGGCCGTCATCTTGTGCTTCAGCGCATGCAAGGCAGGCTCTTCTCCTGTGCTTTCCTTGCAGGCATACATAAAATGGCTGTGTCGAAGAAATACATTTCTCTATATTGCCACAGTTTCACTGTTGCTCGGCATGTGAAAAGTGCTGCCTTGAATTTTACATTTTCCTTTCTGGGGGCTGCATTTTTCATCTGCTGGTACACAGTCAAAATCATGTTTACGTATCCAACTAATCTTAAACTTGAATTTAAATTTCTTTTTAATATAATATTGTTTTGGGGTTTTTTTCAGAGAATTGTCTTCCGTCATCAGAATCAGCATTGTGTATGACTTGGATCAAGGTAGGCAATGTTTTTGATTGTTAACATTTAATAAAAATTAGTCAATATTAGGGATCGACCGATTATCGGTCATTCTGATATTAGCTATTTTCAGCAATATGGGTATCGGCACATAGAGATACCGATATTGCCGTTAATACCTTCAAGTACCGCCGGGCACATGATAATCACGGTGGTCCTGGATGGCGCAGTAAGCTCTTACTCACCTTCCCAGCAGCTCCCTTCTGTTCCCCCTGTGTAAGTCTTGCATGTCCCACGTCCGTCAGACCGTTGACACCTGTTACCATGGCAACTCTCTGCGCGGCACACAGGGCTCGAGATTTAGACATTGGAGCGGAAGGGAGCTAATAGGAAGGAAAGTAAGAGCTTGCTGCGTACCCTCACTGCATAGTCCGTGCCACCAGCCCACCAAGGAATGTTATATTCCCCCCTCCGTGGTCAAGTAAGAAGCAGGTAGAATGTACTAAAAAAAAATAAAAAAATTTCAATTATCTAAAATAAAGAATGCAACCTAAATTACATACCTCCAGAAACACACACACACCACACACACGCTATGCATTCATTATATACACACTACACAAATACACACAACTCCCCTGTATAAACACACTGCATCTACTACATGTGGCATGTATATTTTGTGCATTTACCTTTCGAAATATTTTTTTATTTTTATTTTTGAAATCGTAAATGTACAGAATAACGGTAAGCTTTGGCTATCAGCCTTAAAGTTCATAGATTATCGGTATTTGCTTCAAAACGTGTGTTTGTATTACTAGCGCTGCAGTGCCCTAATCTACATTTAGGTGACTACGGACCACGCGGTCACAACATTTTTTATAGAAAACTTTTTAGCGTAACCTTTTTAAAGCGTACCTCAGCGCTGGTCTGCTCCGTTGCCTACCGCAATGTCATCCTGCAGGGTGTGCCAAATGTGCTTGCATGTCCTGTGCCGCTCACTGATTAAAGGACCACTATAGGCACCCAGACCACTTCAGCTTAATGAAGTGGTCTGGGTGCCAGGTCCAAAATGTTGTGACCACGTGGTCCGTAGTCACCTAAATGTAGATTAGGGCACTGCAGCGTTAGTAATACAAACACACGTTTTGAAGCAAATACCGATAATCTATGAACTTTAACCCTGCCTGCTGTAAACATAGCATTTTCAGAGAAACTGCTATGTTTATAAATGTGTAAATCCATCCTCCAGTGGCTGTCTCTTGACAGCTGCTAGAGGCGCTTACGTGACGCCAGCCTCTATAGGAAAGCATTGTGAATGCTTTCCTATGGAGTGGCTGAACCATTCAACCAAAGAGGAGGAGAAGAGGTAGGAGAGGAGGAGGAGAGCTTCCCACCTGGCGCTGAAGAAAGAGGTAAGTTTAACCCCTTCCTCACCCTATAGCCCAGCGGGAGGGGGACCCTGAGGGTGGGTGCACCCTCAGGGCACTATAGTGCAAGGAAAAAGAGTATGTTTTCCTTGCACTATAGTGGTCCTTTAAACCTCTCCCATAGTGAAGCATTGCTCAATCCATTCCTATAGTGAACTTATCTGACGTTGTAATCCATGAGGACGTCCAACGTCAGCTAAGTGCTATTAACTTTACTTATGTAAATCTCATAAGCTCCTCTACTTGCTGGTCTGTAGATGTATGTTAACAGTGTTCCATAAACCTTTCATTAAGAGTCCTGGTTTTGTGAGAATTTTTAAATTTGCAAAGATTAACATAACACAATCTAAAATAAATTAAACTAACATATTCAAAACTAATAAATATATATTATATATATTTTGAAAAATTCTTTTTTAGGGTGGGGTTTTAATAAGGTTTCAGTGGTACAGAGTAATTGGTAACAGTAGCATAAGAAGACATGAATGTTTGCATAAATTTGAACACAAGTGATATTGTTTTTTTTTAATCATACATTTTACAGTCACAATTGGTACAGGTGTTTAATTATGTTCCATATATGTAGTCTTCAATGCCTGTATATTTATGTGTTCGTCGTCCATTTTTGAGTTTAGTAAATTAAAAAAATTATTATAATTTTAATTGTCAAAATTAACAATGTCAAAAATATTTCTGTTTTAATTAAGAGAAGTGTTGGCGCAAACTATCACACTACATTTTATTCTTATTTTCTTTTGTCATCCCTTTTATTTTTTTAAAAACATAGACAAAATGCCAAAGTGTTTAGTTGTAGGCTGCAGAAACAGTCACACTAAACATTCAGCTGATTGCTCTTTCTTTAATTTTCCAAGTACACCGGACAGAATTAAAGAATGGCTTTTAGCCACAGGTGATGAATTTGTCAACATAGATGCCGCAATTCAATTAATCATTGATAAACAAAAAAGTGAGATTTTCTAAATTTGTTCGGCTCATTTCACAGCAGATATGATAGTGAAGTCTGAAAGGAGAACAAGATTGGTTTTAATGGCAAAACCAACTATTTTTGTAAAAGTGTTACAAACTATACACGATATGTCTTTAAGGAGATCAGAAAACATTAGTGATATAGAAATGTTAGACCTCAGTGCTCCGTCAACGGACCGCAGTGCTTCAACAGAGGACCGCAGTGCTCCGTCAGATGACCGCAGTGCTCCAACAGAGGACCTCAGTGCTCCGTCAGAGGACCTCAGTGCTCCAGGCGAGACATCTATCTACGATCATGAATATATATCAGGTTTCAATTACAAATTGGCTTTAGATAAATCATTTAGGAACAACACCATAGATAGGAGCTTTGTCACAAATTCAAAATTAGAGAAAGACTTTCCACATCTGGTTCATTTTTGCCACACGGGCTCACTGGAAGTCTTTCATAGCCTTGTATTAAAATACCATCCCAAAAGAGTTCATTTCACGATGGATTGGATGGTAGCCGGGACACAACTGGCTGTTTTGGCCCACAACGCCAATGTAGGCAGAGAACAGGCTACTATCCACAAAGAACAAGAAGGCAGTGGACACATTGGGGACTTGCGCTTCAAACCGTTTTTCTCTAAAAGGAGTAAAAATCTGAAAATAAAGAAAATATATGAAAAAAACAACTATTGTCCATATATATTCAATGATGGCTGATGTACTACGAATAGCCTCAGGTGACTTACAAGTTAATTGGGAGTCTCAAACAGGGCAACTTCCAAGAAACATTGCTTCAACACCTCGCCCACCAACGGTGGTAATGGTTGACCGTCACTTTTCACGTTTACATCCAAGAAGACTTTAAAATGTTCAAAAATGTATCATTTGTGTTTGAAATTTTTGGACAGGTGATAAAAATAATTAAAAATCTGTTAATGGTGATAAATACTTGCTTATATTGCAATTTATTTGTAATTTGTAGTAGAACAGCAAATTTTAATTTCTATGAATAATTTTTTTTTGTTTTGATTATTTTGTATAATTTATTGAACAAAACCAGGACGTTGCACTTACTATTTGTTTTTGTTTTATTTCAAATGTTACATTATAGGCACCATAACAACTTAATGCAAATTAAGTTATTAGGATGCCTGTAGTTTACCATTTTATTTATTTATAAATATTTGTTATTGTCTTATTTTTACAAGTTAAAAGTTGATATTGTACAATAATGTTTTATTTTAATAAAAAATTTTTTATAATAATATTTACATTTTCAAACCAATTAATGTAACAATAAAGTTAATTTAGTGATGTCCCTGCTTTTTAAAAAAAGTTTACTTGTGATCCAAATTTTATTTATAAAAATTTATGTTATTTATTACATTAAATTATTGTTGTAAAAAAATGTATGATTGTTGTTAATAAATGTTTATTAGTTCTCATTTTTTGTTCTTTATTCTTTAATCATGTACATGTAGACACCCTATTGAAATTAGTAAAAGCAGGTTTAAAGGACAAATAATTTTACCCATCACACTGCAGTAAAAGTACTTTTAGTATTGAATATATATATATTAGTGTTTGCGTTATTTCTGTTGTAAAATAAAATTAGTAGATTAAAGTATCATTAAAATAATAAAAAAATGCAATAATTTTTTTTAACAGTTTTTAATTCATTAATATAACACAAATATAATTTTTTTAACAGTTTACATTATACACAAAAAATAAATTAACAAATTAACTTTTTTAAACATTATATACAACAAACAAATAATGTTGAATAGTTAACGAATTTTGAAAAAGTAAACCAATGGCAAGGCTACGTACTGTCTACTATACAAGTTCCACAGCTATAGGGTCATCATCCGCATATCTAAACCCCATGTATATCGCATCAGGTGCAGGAAAGTGTGACCTAATCAATTTTACTGTGCATGAGGGTATCGGACGCCACCTTTTGGTTCCCAAGTATCCGTACACCCACATTGTGAAGGACCTGTAGGCAGTTTTCTGTAGTCATTATGATAAAAAAATAAAAATAAAGGAAACATTTTATATTGCATATAAATAACCAAACAAAATATGATTGTCAATGGAGGATAGAATAGAAGATCATAAATTATGAATATAAAATTTAACATCCAAACTGTAGAAAGTAAGTAAAACGAAACCTGACCAATTGCAGTATTACAATACTAAAAATAAAGGAGCACTATAGTAACAGGAAAACAAACTTGTTTTCCTGGCACTATAGGGTCATTAGTCCCCAGCCTCAGTGCCCCCTTCATGCTGTGCTGAAGGGGTTAAAACACCTTCAGACACTTGACTTTCTCCAGCGCCGAGCTCACTCGGTGCTGATGACCTCTCCTCTTTCTGCCAACGTCCGCATTACTCCATGCTTTCCTATGGACGTCCAGCGTTGTGAGAATTGCGGAAGCTCCTCTAGCGACTGTCAGGGATTAAACCTCATTGAAACATAGCAGTTTCTCTTAAACTATGTTTGGAGCTGCAGGGTTAAAATTAGAGGGACCTGGCACCCAGACCACTTCATTGACCTGGAGTGGTCTGGGTGCCAGGTCCCCCTAGTTTTAACCCATTTCGGTGTAAACATAGTTTACTAGAAACTGCTATGTTTCACTGAGGGTTAATCCAGCCTCTAGTGGCTGTCTCACTGACAGTCGCTAGAGGAGCTTCCACAATTCTCACTGTGAAAATCACAGTGAGAGGACGCTGGACGTCCATAGGAAAGCATGGAGTAATTCTTTCCTATAGGCTGTTTTTCGAATGCGCAACGCTCTAGACACGCATGTGCATTGGTAGCGGACATTGGCAGGAGGAGGAGAGGTCACCATCACCGGGGGAGCACGGCTCTGGACAAAGGCGAGTGGCTGACGATGTTTTAATCCCTTTAGCCCAGCTGGAGTGGGGCCTAAGAGGTTGGGGGGTGACCTAACGACCCTATAGTGCCAGCAAATGAGTTTGTTTTTCTGTCACTATGGTGCTCCTTTAGAGATTAATTTTGCTTCTTTTTTTTCTTAGTGACTCACAATTTTAATGAACAATGCGCTGTATTTCGATTTATGATACACTCACCTTTCCTGCATTTGTTCCGGAGAACGTAATATAGCGGATTTTACATAGCTGAGACCATAACGGTATAGAGACAGCACGTGTTCCCGTGAAGATAATTGCTCATGTAGATATGGAAGATTGCAAATGCAATTGTGTTGTTCATTCAACATATCGACAATGTTCTCTATCTCCCGGCAGCATAGACTTTCTTCCTCACTTTGCATTGACATACAATTGCCACACAGACACCATTCCGATGTTCCAACTCTTGTTGGTGAACCTGGCTTATCTTCATCGTTAAAGGACCACTCTAGGCACCCAGACCACTTCAGCTTAATGAAGTGGTCTGGGTGCCAGTTCCAGCTAGAATTAACCCATTTTTTTTTTATCCTCTAGTGGCTGTCTACACACACACACACACACAATTGCACACAGGCTCTATATATAATTCGGGTGCTTGCAGTCCAGGGAAAATATTAAACATAAATTGTACAGATGACCAGCACTCAAGGTTTTACTGAAGATTAAAATTTGTAAACTTTAATGAAGATTCATATTAAAAAGGTTCATGATGAAAGTCACAGACATGGACTGACACATCTATCCACCTTTTAATATGAGTCTTTTAATCTTCACTATAACCTTGATTTCTTAATCGTAGGTCTTCTTAGAGCTCTTTTGTGCGAGGCATCATTCACATCAGGCAATGCTTCTTGTGAAAAGCAAACCCAGAACTGCTGTGTGTTTTTTATAGGGCAGGTCAGCTGTAACCAACACCTCCAATCTCATCTCATTGATTGGACTCCAGTTGGCTGACATCTCACTCCAATTAGCTCTTGGAGATGTCATTAGTCTAGGGGTACACATACTTTTTCCACCTGCACTGTAAATGTTTACATGGTGTGTTCAATAAAAACATGGCAACATTTCATTCTTTGTGTGTTATTAGTTTAAGCAGACTGTGATTGTCTATTGTTGTGACTTAGATGATGATCAGATCACATTTTATGACCAATTTATGCAGAAATCCATATTATTCCAAAGGGTTCACATACTTTTTCTTGCAACTGTATATAGTTATATAGTTACATAGCTGAAAAGAGACTTGCGTCCATCAAGTTCAGCCTACCTCACATTAGTTTTTTGCTGTTGATCCAAAATAAGGCAAAAAAACCCCCACAATTTTGTAACAAGCTAGGAAAAAAAATTCTTTCTTGACCCCAGAATGGCAGTCAGATTTATCCTTGGATCAAGCAGTTATTACCCTACATTGAAAGATTATATCCTTGAATATTCTGTTTTTGCAAGTATGCATCTAGTAGCCGTTTGAACATCTGTATGGACTCTGATAAAACCACTTCTTCAGGCAGAGAATTCCACATCCTGAATGTTCTTACAGTAAAAAAACCTTTCCTTTGCTTTAGACGAAATCTTCTTTCTTCCAGTCTAAACGCATGGCCTCGTGTCCTATGTAAAGTCCGGTTTGTGAATAGATTTCCACACAATGGTTTGTATTGGCCCTGAATATATTTGTATAATGTTATCATATCCCCTCTCAGGCGACATTTTTCTAAACTAAATAGGTTTAAATTTGTTAACCTTTCTTCATAGCTGATATGTTCCATTCCTTTTATTAATTTTGTAGCCCCCCTCTGCACTTTTTCCAGTGCCATAATATCCTTCTTTAGAACAGGTGCCCAAAATTGCACAGCATATTCAATATGGGGTCTTACCAGTGATTTATAAAGAGGCAAAATGATATTCTCGTCCCGAGAATGAATGCCCTTTTTCATGCATGACAATACCTTACTGGCCTTGGCCATTGCTGATTGACATTGCACATTGTTGCATAGTTTTTTGTCTATAACAATTCCCAAGTCCTTTTCGTGTGCTGTTATCCCTAATTCGCTTCCTTTAAGGGTATACGTTGCTTGTGTATTATTTACGCCAAAGTGCATAACTTTGCATTTTTCAACATTAAATTTCATCTGCCATTTGAGTGCCCAGTCCCCCAGTCTATCTAAATCCCTCTGCAACAAAGTAATATCTTGCTCACATTGTATTATTTTACAAAGTTTTGTGTCATCTGCAAACACTGAAACATGACTTTCAGTGCTGTCTTCAAGATCATTTATAAATATGTTAAATAGAAAGGGTCCCAGAACAGACCCCTGAGGGACACCACTTGCCACCTCTGTCCAGCTTGAAAATTTACCATTAATGACAACGCTTTGTACTCTGTTTTAAGCCAATGTTCTACCCAAGAACAAGCATTTTCATCTAGACTGATTTCCTTGAGTTTGAACACTAATCTATTGTGTGGAACTGTATCAAATGCCTTGGCAAAATCCAAATAGATCACATCCACGGCAACACCCTGATCTATACTTCTACTTACTTCTTCGTATACAACTTACTTCTTCGTAGAATATATATATATATATATATATATATATGTGTGTATATACACACACACATACACACAGCTTTTTAATGGTGATGTGTTATTTTTATTAATAGTTTTTATTACTGTATTTATGTCTTTGAGATACATATAAGTGTGTTAGAGTGTGAGTGTATATATACACACAAACATCTCTCCATCTCTCTCTCTCTTCTATATATATTTATATATATAT